GTCGTGTGTCATCATTCCTTCCTACCTTCCTTCCTTAGTTGTTCTTTCCTTCCTTCCTCTACTTCCTTTCTTCCTTCTGGTATCCTGGGCATTGCTTTCGGTCACAAACTCCTCAAAACCATGAAATTCATCTTCACTGACACTTCCATCTGTGTTAGAACTATCACTTGGGATGAGAATTATTATTATTATAATCAAGGGGGAAGCGCTAAACCCGGAGGATTATACAGCGCCTGGGGGGGGATGTGGAAGGCATTCAGGCTTAATTCGGGGAACTGGAGCACAGATCCAATTCCCTAAATCAAGAGCCCCTCACCAACATCAAGGAACCTTCCCTGAGGGGCCCTAAATCAAGAGCCCCCTCACCAACATCAAGGAACCTTCCCTGAGGGGCCCTGAATCAAGAGCCCCCTCACCAACATCAAGGAACCTTCCCTGAGGGGCCCTAAATCAAGAGCTCCTCACCAACATCAAGGAACCTTTCTTGAGGGGTTGGGATGAGAAGAGTCCCAGATTCGCCGGGGAGTCAGATATTTCTTACCGCTAGGCATGCTGAACACAAACTACTGAAATGGCATTCCCACAATGCATCACTGGCTCCCCGATTTTTTTTGTACCATGCACACTGACCATGCAGACCCATTCTCTCACATGTGGGTCTAACAGCTTTCTCCCGCTTAATTTTAAGCTATTGTAATTTTTTAGTATTAATATATCGAAAACATTGGCTCGTAAGACGTATATATATGGCCAAAACAGTCAAAGGGTTAACAAGGTCTGCTGCACTGGTCTTTGGACACAAGTGAAACTGATGGCATCAAGAGCGTTCATGGAAGAGATACAGTCACAATTATTACTTAAAATTATTATATTATGCAGAAATGATAATTTTAGGGATCATGCAATGCCTAGGTAGTGAAAGACAATCAGGGTACGATAAGTAAGGGAAGACAAGTCTAAACCTTTTGATCAAGAGCCCCTCACCAGCACCATGGAACCTTTCTTGAGAAGACATTACTAAAAAGTTCTGTAGAATAATAGTGGCATGAAACATTATTTTTCGTTGTGCACCTTTCAGAAAATTTATGAAATTGCCCACTCATCACACCTGGTTAATGGGTAATTGACTGTATTAAAACACCTACCATCCAACTTACGACCATATTTTGTATGCCAAATTTCTGGGAAATAAACAACTGTTTATTTCCCAGTGTTTATCCTAAACCTTACAATATAAAATACAAAACTAACAGCATAAAAAGCAAAGTAAAAAATTAATTATCAAAATAAAACAATAAAATAAAATAAACCATACCACAGCGGGGATAGAAGCCCGCCCATGGTATAGTTTATTTGCAATCGTGTCATTATGATTTTGTGAGTCGATAAAATAAAATCATTACAAAAATGTGATGTTCATATTCAGTAGTAAGGTTCGACTTACGTCCATTTGACTTACAACCAGTTGGTCGGAACGAAGCTCGGTCGTCAGTGAGATGGTGTGTGTATATTTTTTCGGTTTTCATTTGCAACAAAAATCACCATTTGGATAATTAAACAAATATAATATATATATATAAAGATAAAATTTATTACCAAAAATGTTTTGCTCTACAAAAGTTATTTTAATTCTTATCGTACAACATATGGCAAATAATTCTTGTCATTAGGCAAATTCCCATAAATGCCGTCATTCTCCAATAGACGCTAATATTAAAATACCAAGAGAAATATTTCTTAAAAGTGTAACTTAAACTTATCATATACAGACTTAGTTTTAATTGGGTCGTTTATGTAGTAGGAACGTTTTACAATTACAGTAGTTATCCCATTTGAATGAGTGGCTGCTGCAAACTGATACAATGTGATTTTGAAGCATTAGCAGAGATTAAGCAGTTGCACACTTCCAGTAGGCAAGATGTATTACTTCCGCTACATAGTGTACACACAAGAACCTGCCCATGTGTTTAATAACTAAATGAAGTCGCTGGCATATCTATTCTCACTATGAATGTCTGACAGTGAAAGAGCCTGTCTGTGTGTCTGGCATGTACGTGGCAGCAGTGCCACCAGCATTAATCTGTATTATTCCTATAAATATGTTACTGCAGCTTTATATTCTGTGTGCGCATTATAACCTGTGTATCCCAGATTTAAAATGACAGCGTCATAAACTGAATTGAATAACATAATAATGCAAAATAATATAGCTTAAGAAAATGTTCATCATTGAAATTTACAATGTTCATGACCTTAAAGATTCACTGCTTGAAGGATCAATGTCTCGGCCGACTCTCGTCCTCACACCACAGAAAGTAAACACTAACGAGTCTTGTTACCTATAAAATGTGACTAAATTACCAAATGGGAATAAATTCTTCATAAATTTAGCTCCAAGTTATTTTGTTTACCCTGGAGAGCGGTAGCGGCATAGTGGCAGCCTTCACCAATGTACCGGCAACAAGACTTCCAAGAATTAACCATTAAGACTTATCAATTAAGAATAATTCCTCTTATAAGGAATGTGAGCAAGTACTCAAAACTTTATCATGAGATGAACAAGTCAGTGCATGACAAAGGTCAAAGTTCAATAGGACCTCTTAAAAAAAAAAATGATGAAATGTATATATTACAGACTGTACATGCTTACCATCTATTACAGATTGTACATGCTTACCATCTATTTTAGATTTTACATGCTTACCATCTATTACAGACTGTACATGCTTACCATCTATTACAGACTGTACATGCTTACCATCTATTACAGATTGTACATGCTTACCATCTATTACCATATATACTCAAGTATAGGTCAAAGTTTTAGGTCTTAATCTGTCTGTAATACATAATGGACTAGGTATATTCGAAGTTAAAATCTATTAACCGTTATCCCTGCAGTTACCAGGAAAGATGGGGCAAGTAGACAGGACTGAGTACTGACATGAACTGGTATATAAAAACCAGGAAAGATGGGGTGAGTAGACATCAGATAGGACTGAGTACTGATATGAACTGAAATACAGAAACCAGGAAAGAAGGGGTGAGTACACAGTAAACAGAACTGAGTACTGACATGAACTAAGATATGATAACACCTCTTACCATGTAACTTCAGTCGTGGAAAAGAAAATATGGGGATGAAACACCATTAGCACCATCATCCTACAACACATGTCCACCAATGGACTCAAAAAATCTACATGGACAGTAGAAGTTTTTTAAAGGCTATGAAAAACTTTGGGTTGTGGCAACAGAGATGCAAATGAGATGAACATACTGTCCGGTAGTGAAATGAAAGCATTTTGGCAGCACAGAGAATAGGTTAGGCAAATGAGTAAAATAATGGATCTGGTAGGCCCTAACTGCAGTGGTCGACTATTCTTATACTTTTAAATAGACTAAGTCACTACAGTTTTTGGTAATGAAGCAAGTAACACGGCATACCTGACCTTGATACAGTTGTTCCAACAAAACCTGACCCTTGATACAGTTGTTCCAACACACCTGACCTTGATACAGCTGCTCCAACACACCTGACCTTGATACAGTTGTTCCAACAAAACCTGACCTTGATACAGTTGTTCTAACACACCTGACCTTGATACAGCTGCTCCAACACACCTGACCTTGATACAGTTGTTCCAACACACCATCAGCACTATTAAGTGATTACTTTTCTTTTATGCTTAACTCTCTTCTGCACATACAAATGCGTCAGGCTAAACTTACAACTGGAAACACTGGATCAGAAGCCCCCTCTCGTCCACTTTGTTTTCCAAACACAGCAAACACACGCACACACACAACACATCCAGAACAGCACTTAACTTATCAAATATTACTCATTTTCTCTTCAAAACTTAGAAAAAAATTGTACAAGAGATGCATAAAGTAGATATTTTTTGAGTTTTACTTGAGTATACAAAGTATTAGTTGAGCATTACAGATTAATTCTATATTTAACTTTAAATTTTATTTTATTAAATCAGGGAACAGGTGGGGTTTTGAACCCATGGTGAGTCCTGAAAACCACAGGCCAGTGTGTTAATCACTGGGCCAGCTGAATCTAATAAGATATTTTATTACAGCCACCTGGTACAGTGGTTAACACACTGGTCTGGGGTTTTCAGGACTCACCATGGGTTCAGAACCTCACCCGTTCTAGGGATTTGTTTACAATCGTGTTATCATGAGTCATTTTACTCCTTCTGAGGTTACGATTTAAAACAATGTAAGTCATCTTTACCTGTACCTTAAACATTCAAGACATGCAGAATCTTCCTCAAACATTTCTGTTTCGTCTATCATTTAACTATACAGTTGCTGGAATATCCAACAGAAACACACTAAACATTTGCAAAAGAATCCTGCATGTTTACTTGACACTTAATGAGTGAAATCAGTTGCCATACTGAATTAATTAAACATAGAAATGTCTGTAGTTTTATCCCGGCTGCTTTACAAGGTATACATGACAGTGTGAAACATACAAGGGAAATGAGAGACGTGTCAGGTACACGTTCCCCAACTTACAAACCCTTTCCTGTCCTGGTGTTCCATCACACAAATGATACACAAATAACCAGGACATAGGAGAATGAGGCTCATGATGACTTTTTCGATCTGATTTGGGGCCCACTGATTAGTTAATGGTTCAAGTCAGACCAAAACATCGTCAAAGTATCGACTCATGTGCGAGGGCTATCTGTGTGTTTTTCCAGTCACGGTTTTGTGTTTTTTTTACTCTATCTCAAAAAACAAGTTCCCATTCGGGCATTTCAAGTTACGTGTAAGTGTATTCCCGGTTTTTCAGCAAAAAAAAGAAAATTTATATATGAAACAGTATTAGAAAAATTATTTGTTTTATTACTTCAGTACAGCAATTGTAAAATAGTTTTAAGTACAGTGTTTGTAAGTGTAGATATTTTTACTTCCCAGTGTTTGTAAGTTGAGAACTTGTTTTATAAAGTAGAGGACCTGTGTATAGACACAAGGACCTCGTGTATAAGGACAAGGACCTTGTGTATAAGGCAAAGGGACCTTGTGTATAAGGAAAAAGGACCTTGTGTATAAGGACAAGGACCTTGTGTATAAGGACAAGGACCTTGTGTATAAAGACAAGGACCTTTTTAAAAGGAAAAGGGGGACCTTGTGTATAAAGACAAGGACCTCGTTGTATAAGGCAAGGGCCTTGTGAAATAAGGACAAGGACCTTTTGTATAAGGAAAAAGGGCCTTGTGTGTAAAGACAAGGACCTTGTGTATAAGGACAAGGACCTTGTGTTAAGGACAAGGACCTTTGTGTAAAGGACAAGGACCTTGTGTATAAGGACAAGGACCTTTTGTATAAGGAAAAAGGGCCTTGTGTATAAAGACAAGGACCTTGTGTATAAGGAAAGGACCTGTGTATAAAGACAAGGACCTCATATATAAAGAAATACAGCAATCATAAGAGTGCAGATTCTGCGTAATAAACCTGCTTTACAAAATATTAAGATTAAACAAAATACAAACTTCAACAAAATTAAATTTATGAAAAAAAAAAAAAACTTATCTTACTGAATCTTCAACAAAGCAGAACAAAAGAAAATCTAAGTAATTTAATTTTAAACCCTTGAATTAAGAACAATGGACCCTGGTTAAATTTCAATAAATTAGGAATTCCTAGTGGTGTTCAACACACAGCTGGCAGAGAGTGCAACAGCAACTACAGCATCACCATTGCTTGTACTGAAGGTAAGGCTTGAGTGTTTGAGGTAACAAGAGATCATCCCTGGCCGTAACATCTCCCAGTGATCGCCGCACTGACATACGGGACAGATGCAGTAGTGAGGGCACCATTGGTGGCGCCAGGAAGAACACCACACTTCCCGACGTATGCCTGGTAAGGAAAATAAAGGAAAATTGAAAGTAATTTACCGGTTAGTCGTGTGATATCACAATTTCCCAGTACAGGTGCTCCTTGCTATACACTGGTTCGGCTTACAATATTTTGACAATGATGGTGCAATAGCAAAGCATGTTCAGTACTGTACATTTATTGACAGCATAAATTTGTATCTTACTTTTCAATAATGTTATTTAGTTACAGTAATTGTTTATTTACTTAATCAGTGAGAGTAGTTATTTATTTATTGTATTTTCCCGATTTCCCTAGGTAGTAGGCGGTAGACAGCAACCACCCAGGGAGGTACTACCATCCTGTGGTAGTAGGTTGGTAGACAACAACCACCCAGGGAGGTACTACCATCCTGTGGTAGTAGGTTGGTAGACAACAACCACCCAGGGAGGTACTACCATCCTGTGGTAGTAGGTTGGTTTAGACAACAACCACCCGGGAGGTACTACCATCCTGTGGTAGTAGGTTGGTAGACAGCAACCACCCGGGGAGGTACAAACCGTCCTGTGGTAGTGGGTTTTGGTAGACAACAACCACCCAGGGAGGTACTACCGTCCTGTGGTAGTAGGTTGGTAGACAGCAACCACCCAGGGAGGTACTACCGCCCTGTGGTAGTAGGTTGGTAGACAACAACCACCCAGGGGGGTACTACACCCTGTGGTAGTGGTTGGTAGACAGCAACCACCCAGGGAGGAAACTACCGTCCTGTGGTAGTAGGTTGGTAGACAGCAACCACCCAGGGAGGTACTATCATCCTGTGGTAGTAGGTTGGTACAACAACCACCCAGGGAGGTACTACCATCCTGTGGTAGTAGGTTGGTAGACAGCAACCACCCAGGGAGGTCTACCATCCTGTGGTAGTAGGTTGGTAGACAACAACCACCCAGGGAGGTACTACCATCCGTGGTAGTTAGGTTGGTAGACAGCAACCACCCAGGGAGGTAACTACCCATCCTGTGGTAGTAGGTTGGTAGAAAAACAACCACCCAGGGAGGTACTACCATCCTGTGGTAGTGGGTTTGGGGTAGACAGCAACCACCCAGGGAGGTACTCCCATCCTGTGGTAGTAGGTTGGTAGACAGCAACCACCCAGGGAGGTACTACCGTCCTGTGGTAGTAGGTTGGTAGACAACAACCACCCAGGGAGGTACTACCATCCTGTGGTAGTAGGTTGGTGACAGCAACCACCCAGGGAGGTACTTACCGTCCTGTGGTAGTAGGTTGGTAGACAGCAACCACCCAGGGAGGTACTATCATCCTGTGGTATAGTTGGTGACAAAAACCACCCAGGGAGGTACTACCATCCTGTGGTAGTAGGTTGGTAGACAGCAACCACCCAGGGAGGTTACTACCATCCTGTGGTATAGGTTGGTAGACAGCAACCACCCAGGGAGGTACTACCATCCTGTGGTAGTGGGTGGTAGACAGCAACTACCCAGGGAGGTACTACCATCCTGTGGTAGTAGGTTGGTAGAAAAACAACCACCCAGGGAGGTACTACCATCCTGTGGTAGTAGGTTGGTAGACAGCAACCACCCAGGAGGCACTACCATCCTGTGGTAGTATTTTGGGTTTAGACAGCAACCCCCCAGGGAGGTACTACCATCCTGTGGTAGTAGGTTGGTGGGACAGCAACCACCCAGGGAGGTACTACCATCCTGTGGTAGTAGGTTGGTAGACAACAACCACCAGGGAGGTACTACCATCCTGTGGTAGTAGGTGGTAGACAGCAACCTCCCAGGGAGGTACTACCATCCTGTGGTAGTAGGTTGGTAGACAACAACCACCCAGGGAGGTACTACCATCCTGTGGTAGTAGGTTGGTAGACAACAACCACCCAGGGGGGTTACTACCATCCTGTGGTAGTAGGTTGGTAGACAACAACCCCCCAGGGAGGTACTACCATCCTGTGGTAGTAGGTTTGGTAGACAGCAACCACCCAGGGGGGTTTACTACCATCCTGTGGTAGTAGGTTGGTAGACATAACCACCCAGGGAGGTACAAACCGTCCGTGGTAGTAAGGTTGGTAGACAACAACCACCCAGGGAGGTACTACCGTCCTTTGGTAGTGGGTTTGGGTAGACAGCAACCATCCAGGGAGGTACTACCGTCCTGTGGTAGTAGGTTGGTAGACAGCAACCACCCAGGGAGGTACTACCGTCCTGTGGTAGTAGGTTGGTAGACAACAACCACCCAGGTAGGTATTACCACCCTGTGGTAGTAGTTGGTAGACAACAACCACCCAGGGAGGTACTACCATCCTGTGGTAGTAGGTTGGTAGACAGCAACCACCCAGGGAGGTACTAAAGTCCTGTGGTAGTAGGTTGGTAGACAGCAACCACCCAGGGAGGTACTACCGTCCTGTGGTAGTAGGTTGGGGGAACAACAACCACCCAGGGAGGTACTACCATCCTGGGGGTAGTAGGTTGGTAGACAAACAACCACCCAGGGAGGTACTACCATCCTGGGGTAGTAGGTTGGTAGGACAGCAACCACCCAGGGGAGGTACAAACCATCCTGTGGTAGTAGGTTGGTAGACTGCAACCACCCAGGGAGGTACTACCATCCTGTGGTAGTAGGTTGGTAGACAACAACCCCCAGGGAGGTACTACCATCCTGTGGTAGTAGGTTGGTAGACAGCAACCACCCAGGGAGGTACTACCATCCTGTGGTAGTAGGTTGGTAGACAGCAACCACCCAGGGAGGTACTACCATCCTGTGGTAGTAGGTTGGTAGACAGCAACCACCCAGGAAGGTACTACCATCCTGTGGTAGTAGGTTGGTAGACAGCAACCACCCAGGGAGGTACTACCATCTGTGGTAGTAGGTTGGTAGACAACAACCACCCGGGGAAAGGGGTACTACCATCCTGTGGTAGTAGGTTGAAAGATAACAACCACCCAGGGAGGTACAACATCCTGTGGTAGTGGGGTTGGTAGACAGCAACCACCCAGGGAGGTACTACCATCCTGTGGTAGTAGGTTGGTAGACAGCAACCACCCAGGGAGGTACTACCATCCTGTGGTTGTAGGTTGGTAGACAGCAACCACCCAGGGAGGTACTACCATCCTGTGGTAGTAGGTTGGTAGACAACAACCACCCAGGGAGGTACTACCATCCTGTGGTAGTAGGTTGGTAGACAGCAACCCCAGGGAGGTACTACCATCCTGTGGTAGTAGGTTGGTAGACAAACCACCCAGGGAGGTACTACCACCTGTGGTAGTAGGTTGGTAGACAGCAACCACCCAGGGAGGTACTACCATCCTGTGGTAGTAGGTTGGTAGACAGCAACCACCCAGGAGATACCATCCTTTGGTAGTAGGTTGGTAGACAGCAACCATCCAGGGAGGTACTACCATCCTGTGGTAGTAGGTTGGTAGACAGCAACCACCCAGGGAGGTACTACCATCCTGTGGTAGTAGGTTGGTAGACAGCAACCACCCAGGGGTACTACCATCCTGTGGTAGTAGGTTGGTAGACGGGCAACCACCCGGGAGGTACTACCATCCTGTGGTAGTAGGTTGGTAGACAGCAACCACCAGGGAGGTACTACCATCCTGGGGGTAGTAGGTTGGTAGACAGCAACCACCCAGGGAGGTACTACCATCCTGTGGTAGTAGGTTCATAGACAGCAACCACCCAGGGAGGTATTACCATCTTGTGGTAGTAGGTTGGTAGACAGCAACCACCCAGGGAGGTACTACCATCCTGTGGTAGTAGGTTGGTAGACAGCAACCACCCAGGGAGGTACTACCATCCTGTGGAAATTAGGTCTTTAGACAGCAACTACCCAGGGAGGTATTACCATCCTGTGGTAGTAGGTTGGTAGACAGCAACCACCCGGGGAGGTATACCATCCTGGGGTTTGTAGGTTCATAGACAGAAACCACCCAGGGAGGTATTACCATCTTGTGGTAGTAGGTTTGGTAGACAGCAACCACCCAGGGAGTACTACCTTTCCTGGGGTAGTAGGTTGGTAGACAGCAACCACCCAGGGAGGTACTACCATCCTGTGGTAGTAGGTTCATAGACAGCAACTACCCAGGGAGGTATTACCATCCTGTGGTAGTAGGTTGGTAGACAGCAACCACCCAGGGAGGTATTTACCATCCTTTTGGTAGTAGGTTCATAGACAGCAACCACCCAGGGAGGTATTACCATCTTGTGGTAGTAGGTTTGGTAGATTGCAGCTACAAAGGGGAGGTACAGTGGACCCCCGGTTTTTCAGCCATTAATTCAGTTATCGGCCTTTTGGGAGGCATCCACTCTCCGGCTGGGCCGCTTGCAAGTCAGTTTGGCTTTGTCTCTGGGCGAGTGAGGAAGCTTCTGCTCATTCAAACCAAACATTTTGCTATAATCCATTGTTTTTTGTGGTTATTGACTGAGTACAACTGCAAAATAAGCAACCATGGGCCCAAAGAAAGACATTACATAGTACAGTGGACCCCCGCTTTACGATCAGCTCCCAATGCGACCAATTATTAAGTTTTATTTATGTAAGTGCGTTTGTACGTGTATGTTTGGGGGTCTGAAATGGACTAATCTAATTCACAATATTCCTTATGGGAACAAATTCG